TCTTACGTTGTTGTACTGATGTAGAGGCCAAGAATATGTTCTGTTTGGTAACACTGCCTCAGGTCTGTATCGCAGATGCACACGTGTGATAAAATATGTCAGCAATTAATAAATGAAACAAACAATAAAAGGCAATATTTTTCCACATGGTTTTCCATCCTTAAGGTTTGATTGGCGCCCTTTTAATTATGTCATTTAATCCTCCCCTTCTGCTGTGGTTTAATGGCACCCGACTGGAGCATTAGTGTCACCAACTGTTTATCTTGATTAACCAACTCTTAATATTAGCACACAGTTTAACAGTTCACAACTTCTTTGGATGAGCTTTTGGAAATGTAAGTATAAAGGAAGCAATCTGTCTCTGTCCTTCGAGTATCTTGACAACCGTTCATTGATCAACTTCGCACTTGGTGAGTGTATTGCTAAGGATCCCAGGAAATGCAGTGTCGAGTGTGTTGGATGAGCTGAGAAACTTCACCCTGCAGAGATGGAGAACCCCCACAGTTCTAGACACGTGACGCTGTACACGTGCATTTTTTATGATTACATCACGATCAAAAACTAGCAGGTCAACAACTTTACTAACACAGCCAAACATCAAGTGTGACAACACAGGACATAGCGATATTAACCCGTCTAACAGAAAGGATGCTAGCTCGGCGTCTGCCTTGCAGCCTTTTATTTCACAAAGCTCTCGCCAACATCCAGGAGCTTGGTCGCTCTATTTTTCTCTTCTAAGCTTCCTCCGTCAACGTCTTCTTCGGGTCTCTTCACCTCTGCCATTAGTTAACATCACGTCCATAATGTTAATGTTGCATAATGTTGCTGGAAACTTGGGTGGCAAGCTAGCCAGCAAAGCTAGACACCAACCAACGCAAGAGCACTTAAAGTAACGTTACAGATTAAGTTTGCTTACATAAACTTACCTAGTGGCTAAACCTCTGGCTGATTTTGCTCAAGTCAGCAACTTTTTTAACACATGCAAACATCAAGCAAGAGCAACAACACAAGACACAGCAAGCCCGCTAATAAGTTATTACTGACTAGTCATCATCATCATCTCTTTTAGCTCACGCCAACGAGTAAAAGCCAGCTCAATATTTACTCTTGTCCAGTTTCTTGCTCGGTCACTCTTTTCTCTTCCTCTGACAGCGTTTTCTTCAGAACTCTTCGCAGCCTCTGCCATGATATCCATACTGAGAATAACGAGCTAGCTTACATTCAGAACTTACATTGTACATTCTAAAGTCTTTGCTACTTCTTATAGCTTGCTTGCAGAAGAGTATTGCTGGTGTGATGTGGTGCCGTAAAGCAATAGATTTCTTGCCCGGGGTAGCTGGCTAGCGATATAGCAATAAAGATTTCACTTTCATATCTGGATGAAAAACTTCTTAGCGTTAGATATAAAATTTGCACTACATTTGAATGTAAACCTGGCACTTCAAACCATCAGTGTCAGTGCAATTCACTGACATAACAATAGTCACATGTATCCCAGGCAATAATTTGACATAGCCTATGGGAAGGCACACTGGAATGATATGACTAACATCTTTGTTAATTCCTAAGCTGAAACACCAGGCAGGTAGCATCATGCACTCCCAACACAAATGGTGCAACAGCAGTGAGCTGTGTCAGTGAAGTATTTGTAGCCGATAGATGGCAGCAGGTGATTTCAACTTTGCAGCTAATAAACGTTACACTATCTTTTCTTCCCCTCCACAGTTAAATGACTCACCTTTCAGTTGAGTCAGCATTTTGTGTTTGTCAAAGAACTTTAGAAATGTGCAAAAAAGTATAGGCCTCAGTGTGTGCGGCGGGAGCTCAGCCTTCTGCAGCTGCGGTGACTGATTCAGGCAAAAGCTGCTCAGAGCACAAACCGTTCCGAGTTCACACTGCTGGCAATTTGCAGCCGCCGCATGAATAGAAAGCAGTGGAGGGCATTCTTCACATAGCCATTCTGAACACATATTTCACATCTTTGTTCATGTGGGTCTTTAATCCCCTTTGAACTGAATATCAATTAACAAGCACCTCTTTATAGTCAGGTTTGAGAATAGCTGATGGTAGATTGCTTCCCATTAATGGGGCTCTCTGAGTGTCCTGCCCTTGTTGGGCTGTGTTTTATGGTCAGATAAAAGTTGTGCAGGGAGAAAAATGCCATCTGGGCTCTGTGCCAGCGGCTGGTGTTTCACAGCAGCTACTGCCTCAGCCCGGGATGGGATGAGAAACTTGGTGGGACAAGTGTTCTGAGGTGAGGAGGGGGAGCCTCTCAAGGTGCCACTTCCATGGAGACGCAGTTGGGCTAAACAAGACTTCCATTGGTGGACACACAAAAGGTCAGGTGGCTGCCTGACTGCTTCATTACTGGAAGCCCAGCAGCCGCCACCAAACTGCTGAGATCTGCTCCTTTGGGCCGCCAGTGAGGGCAACGCTAATCAACATCTTGTGTTAATGAGTGATGTTGAGCATGAATCTTTTCTTGTGGGATTGGATACGTTACTGCGGTTGGCTCGGTCGCCTAGGAAATAAGCATCCCACTGTAGGCAGCAGGCTGTGTGCACTTTACCTCAAATCTTTTTGAGTTAACCCCGACCTCAACACTGAGCATGCTTTCTGTCACTTGCTTTTGATTGTTTAAACTCGTTTTCTTGCCTTGCTGACTTTCATGAGTCAACAGAATGAAAGTGAGGAGAGTCAGCTCAGAGAGCTCTGTTTCCAGCACTCTGTCTTTAGGCGAATTTGAAGACAATGGGGCAAAAAGGCAGCGAGGTCACCTCTTACTTGACCATCCCTCCCTCTCTCTACTCCTTGTGCTCTATGTGTTCTCTCTAATCACAGACACGGGGACTCCTGGATTGTTTTCTGAAAAAGCATAAAGTGCCACCAGTCTCCTTTTCAAATGCACAGTGTGGCGCTGCGTTCGTGATCTGCATTCAATCAGCACATGTGGAAAGGACCCAACATGTGTTTGCCCTGATAAGCCTGCAACAGCATGAAGCGATGACATCACAAGATGGTCACAAGGAACAGCAGACCCTAAGCTGCTGTAGCTCTTTATACGACCAGTGATGAAAATATAGTGATACATTTATTTTTGTCTGATCTAAATGGAGTGACACTATCAGGACAGATACAAACAAGCCTAAGAACGAGAAAGACATCTTTGTCCACCAGCCAAAAGAAGGCTGTTTAATAAAAATAGTACCACAAATGAGGTGGTTGATGAGAGAGGCAGAGTCACTCGTGATATACTGCTAAAACCAGCAAGACATGAGGGTTGGGTTGAGATAAAATAATTGAAAAGCGGTATGCGAAAATCTGCAGCTGTATTCCTAAAATGTTATTTTATGATTTTTGGAGAAAATGAACAACTTAAAATAGTGGTAGTTTTTGTATAATGACAGTAATTAGTGTGGATTTACATACGCAATAAAATGCATTATTGCCTCTGGTTAATCTCTCATAATAAGTTCTTAATTAGTGTTGATGAGGTAACTCTTTAGTGCTATTGAATATGTTTCTTTCAGAAGCAGCCAATAAGAAATGAAGTCATAAACACAGGGTGAAGGAAACGAAGCAGGACCAAAAGCACTCCCACGAAAAGCACTCCAGACATTCAGCATTCAATTTCCCATTTAGGCAAAGTCACAATCAGCAAAAAGAGTGTACTGGCTGATGCATTTAATATGTGAAGAAACATTCACTGAAACCCAAGGCCATAAATCATTATACCTTAAGCTCTTTCAGCCCACAGTTTTCTTCTTTAATTTGCCCTCCTTCCCCCACCTCGTGGCCCAGATCACTGAGGAACTCACTAAGAGCATTGTTCCTCCTGCCAGCTCACTTGGCATATCTAGTTTTATTTAGAACCCTCCGGCTGTTTGGCAGGAGGAGGGAATAAGCGGTGTTAAAGGTATTTATGAGGTTGTCCTCAAAGAACCTTTCTTTGTATCGACAGTTTGACTAATGCATGTGACAGTAAACTTGAAGTTGGCAGCAGCTACGAAGAAGTTGTCTCTATGACTGATGCTGGTTGTGATAGCTGCCAAGCCAACATGTATTAATTATAGGAGATTCTAAACAGACTGATTTTCATGACAGACAATGTTTGGAAACTAACTAAATAACCAGGGTGTTAATGATTACAATTCCCCAAAAGGTTTAACTTCAATCAAAATCCATATTCTTAAGATGGTTAACGAGCATCAACAGCAAGTAGGCCTATATAGTTAAACTAAGTCTCAAAGGGAGCAGGACAAAAGGCTGGAGGAGTATCCTGTTGGACCAGTGGTCAGGGACACATACCACATTCCTGCAGTGTCCCTTGTTTGAATCCTGTAGGCGGTCTATGTTACACATTGTTCCCCTTTTCAAACAGAAATACTTTTAAGCTGTATTATTGAATTCCCTCATTTTTATTAGATTTTTTTCTTATTTCAGAAAATAAAATAAAAAAACCAAAGCAACATCTTAATATTTCATCCAGGTTAAAACATAAAACGGTTCTCTGTCATTGTACTCTGCTGCAGTTCCCTCAATTCCTGATGTTAAAAACAAGCCTATGTAAAGTATTTAGCAAAAGCATCAATTTCAGAATCACTGTGGAAATTACAGCTATATTTTACTACGGTCACTGATGCAAACATCGGTGACAGGCTGCTTAAAACTCAAATTGGAATTCACAGACACTGCCAAGAGCCCAATTTAAGGCGTGCATACCAAATTATATACAAACCTATCAAAAGCTGAGAACATCCTACTGCCATAGTGGCCAGTGTAGTCAGACCTGTCTGCATGTCTGTGTCACTATGAAAATTGCAGCGCCTGTTTCCTATTCTAACCCGCTGTCATATACAGACGCTTTCTCACGCCCCTCGGCATCTCCTCCGTCACAAACTGTTAGTAAGGCAGGCCTGCAGGTAGGTTCCGTAGTAAGTAGTCACGTGATGTAACTTTAAATAAGTGAACGACGTTTCACACGGGGCACAAACAAGCAGTTGGTAAATGATGACCCAGATTTAAAACTAATTCTAAACATTCCCATACTGACATCTGTCTACTATAATGCCTCACTGGCAACTGTGAGATGGAGCCATGAAAAATAACAGAACAAAACAGCAGAATAGTCAGGAATTTAAAGGCAGGGGATGAAAACCAAGCTGCGGCTTTAACCTTGAAGCTTGGTAGACATGCAGGAGGCCTTGTTTGAATGAGTTTGTTTATGTCAGCCTCAAAAAAAAAGAAGACAGATATGTGATATTATTTTGAACATTTTCCCCACAAACTCCCCTATAATCCACTGTGTTCCAAGCTCATTTCCTTGCATAAGGTAGGCGAATTATATGACAGTTTGTCAGTGGTTAGTCTGTTGTAGGTTTGCTTAATTGACAGTGATTTTACTAACGTTAGGCTAGTTAATGTTATATCAAAATACAAGTTTTGTTAAATTGACTCATTTAGCTCTAACCATAGACTGTATATAAAAGGCTCTAACTAATTAACTGGCATTATCTTACCTATAGAAGCTAACATCAGTAAGCTAGCTAACGCGAAGCTGTCTCACTGTTCTCTCATTTGGTTAAATGATGCTACAGTTAAATTTGTAGAAAGGGGTGTGAAAAGGTTAAAGCTTGTCAATGTCAGTAAGCTAATGTTATTAGTTTACACCATTCACTAGGTGCAAATTACTTTAAACCGTGTTACACCTCAAGGTTACAGTCAGTTGTACAAGTGAAACATTCATTTTGTAAAGAAAAAGGCAGGTTGACAGGAAAATTGCTGCCCCCGCCAACACAGTTTACATTTGGAGCTGACATCCCACTAACAACAGAGGAAACCAAAGGGTGAGTCCAGTCAGTTTCATTTAGCCTTCCTTCATCTGCTTTATTCTGAGCCTTTCATTGGATTTCTCATCACCTAAAGAAGGATTTTTTAAAGACTAATCAGACAGAAGAAACACTGGGGCTTCCGCTCTCCTGCTGATGAACAATGTCATGAATGTTCTATTTTATAATAACCTCCATCTCTTGAGGCTAGAGTAGCTATTGGCTTCTTTCATATATTAAATGACAGAATGAAGAAGTGGATAGTATATTAATGCTACAGCTTAGAGACACTGGCAATTAATGTTTTCTTTGTTTTTCCTTTTTGTATTTCTGTCTTAATTCAGTGTTCTGACAAATTATAGAGTTATAGAAACTCTGACTGGCATTTTTAACTGTGTCAAGCCGATGTGATTTGTTTATAACAATTCCCAATAATTCCCTTGTGTTTTTGTCCACTTCATGTCATATCGATGACTCCTCTTAGGCCACAGAAATCCATGTAATAATGTTTCAATTATGGAAGATACACTTTTTTGATAAAGAGTGATTGGAACAACACAGATTACCGAAGGAGCTGTCATAGCCCGTTTACTTGGAGTGACCGCTACTTAAAGTGGTAACCTTAAGTACTGGGAATCGCCTTTTAATCTGACTGTGGCCAGTTTGATTCCCTCAGTGAAATTGAATATGTTCAAAAGTGTTATGTTTACATTGCAGTCATTGCTGCTTACATTTGACTAATTCAAAGTGACCACTGCTCATGAAGTAACTAAACTAAGGAGCTAGAATCCAGATAAATGTGTGCACATGATGCCGTTCTTTCAAATGATCTTTTTCACCCCCTTCAGTCTGTGTAGAAAAATCAAGAGCCTGTGATATTGGCAAGTCTTGTGTATCTCTGCTGTATCATGGTATTGTGGTATTGGGTGTTTCTTCATAGCTTTGACTTGACAGTTGACATGCTGCATACGCACTCAGTATGATGATGTGTCTTGACATTGCAATGAATCCAGACTCCCTGATACTCAGTCTCTTTGTGTCTACACAGTCTGTTTATAGTATTATAGAGTGTAGCCTTGCTGGGCATGTCATATTAAAACACGTAACTTTCCCATAAAGAGCAGGAGGGCTGTCAAAGGTTGAAGATCAGTAATCTGCTGTGAAATCTTAACAGTGGTGGCGTCAAACATTGACAATCACAGAAACAGATGCCGTGAGACCTTTTAGCACAGGAAATATCCATCCATCCATCGTCAACCGCTTATCCTGCGTACAGGGTCACGGGGGGCTGGAGCCAGTCCCAGCTGACATCGGGCGAAAGGCGGGGTACACCCTGGACAGGTCGCCAGTCCATCACAGGGCCACACATGGACCAACAACCACTCACACGCACACCTAAGGACAATTTTAGAGACAGCAATTAACCTAGCCTGCATGTCTTTGGACAGTGGGAGGAAGCCAGAGCACCCGGGGAGAACCCACGCAGATACGGGGAGAACATGCAAACTCCACACAGAAAGGCCGGGGCAACCGGGGTTTGAACTCACAACCTTCGTGCTGTGAGGCGACAGTGCTAACCACAGGAAATATGTTCTACATAAAAAGATAATGATAATTAAAATGCCTTTCTTTCTCTGGAAAATAAGCACATCCTTTATCTTCTATCGTGCTGAATCCCAGGAAGGTCAGGTGAAAAACAATGAGACGTCAAGCATGAGTGCAAATTCATGCAATTCATGCAAATTCCTATCCTGCTAATGTAACACCACCTATGCCTGCTTATTCCCCAAAACTTCAGTTATCCCCAAAACACAAACATTTGTTGCATGTAACCAGGACTGAAACTGTTTATTCCTTTTTTTTATAACAGATGCCTAGGTCAAGAGGAGAACATATTCTCAAATCTGGCTACGACCGACCAGTAACTGAACAGGTATGTGTGTATTCTTACCTGCGGAGGGCAGCAGCAGGCTTGAGATGCATCTAGGCTGCATGCAGTGTTAAAAGAAGAGTAAGAATCGGAAGGCGAGTCCATTTTTATGAAAACCTCATTGCACATCTGCTGTACCTCAAGCCTTGCCCTCACTGCCCAGACCTTTTAAAGTCATATTCACCAGTTTTCAAGTTACAGGGCTGAAGCAGATTCATCTTAAGCGGACTCAACAGAATGAAAGTGAGGAGATATGCTTTAAAGAGATAACTTTAGAAATATTTTTTCAAGAATATCTAGTTTAACTAGGATTAGATCTGGTCACATACAATTATTATACATAAAGCTTAGGGTACTTTTGTTGATGGAAAAATGTGTACAACTTCCAACCCAGCTCAGCTCTTAAACCTTTAAATAGTTTTTAGTCTTATAGTCTTATTTGATGTGCTCACTGACAGCAAGATTAAATTACAGCTGATGCTGTAGATACTGTAAAAGGCTTGTGAGGGTGATGAGAAAGACTTGTTACAGTTACAACAATGTACGCTAGTTTACAAAACATTAATTTTAACAATTTGTGGAAATATTGAATTGTAAAGGGTCCTGAATTTCAAACCTGTAACATTAGGCTAGGTTAAAGTCAGCCTATTGAATTTATTTAAATTAGAGACAATTTAAAACAACTTAGAAATCTGACCAAATTTATCCTTGATGCTATGTTGGTTGATTTTAATTGATTATTTTTGCAGCAGACATTTTGACTTGTCATAACAGGATAAGCACGTGTATAGCTAATAATATTTATGTTTTTTCTGATGTCTGAATGTTCCATTGAGTAAGAACCGGAAAGAAAGAAAATGCATGTTTTTTCACAGAAGACATTTTGACATCTCACATTGAAACAAACACAGGTGCAAATGATAAATGATGGCTGATTTCCATTCAGCTGCTTCAGTTTCATGGTCCAGGTTTTGTGCATGCTGGCTCATCGTCACACTGTCACGGCTTACTGGGACCCTTGAATAGAACAGAGCCATCGTCCTCACATCCCTCTGAAGTTATTTTCTAGACATTTTAAAGTTGAAAAATTGGCTTGCTCTTTGGTGGACAAACTTGGTGATCACTTCACTCACTGACTGCAATTTCTTGTTGCTCATTGGCCGACATACAAAAAACAATATATCTGCATTAAGCTAATTTTGGCCAGTATATAGGCCTCGCCAGTTTATCAAGCTAACTCTAGTATGATGACATTATCCCAATTAAGGTGTGACAGCTTGTCTTCCTGGATCATTTATTCCCCCCAAAACAACAGAAAAGGGAAGAAAGCCCACCCTCCATCCATCGTCAATCGCTTATCCTGTGTACAGGGTCGCGGGGGAATAACCAGAGTCGTGCCCATAATTCACAGGAATAAGCTTAAGAACTAAGGAACAGCCAAATGGAATGTAACCATAATTAATGTTTTTAATCAACCCTGAGCTTTCCAGCTTTGACATGTCAACATTTCGGCTGTGAAAAAGACCCATAACTGACAGGAGGTCAACTTGGAACTGAACTGTTTACTTGCGATGCAGTTCCAGTGAAATAGACCTGATTTTTATAACAATAAGGTAAAGTTAATCTGTGAAGGTGGCACAGAGGATTTGCACACACTGTTTACTGGCCAAGTTATGAAATGTTTCCATGCTGAAAAGTCAGGAACTAAATACTGAAGGTGTTGTGAATGGTTCGACTAATAAGCCAGCCTGTTTGAGTTTCAAATTCAAAGGAACTAGTAGCTTTCATTAATAATAAGAGATGTTTTGATGTTTTTTCCCCCTTTAGATTTCCAATAAATGTACACTCTACAATGTTTCCATCTGGTAGTGAACATTCCATTGCCACTTAATAGAAAAGAACGGAGAGCTTTGTTCTTGTTTAATATAGGTATGATAATCTGACCATTCATTCAGTGCCCATGGTCCATGGCTGTCAATTTTAGTTATAGGTGAACAGAAGTGGCTGTCTACAGAACAATACTGGAAAAAACATGCTTTTTTGTGAATAAAAATAACCTGGAGGAAGCAGCTAAAGTCAGGACAGAATGAGGCCCAAGATGTAACCCTGAGGCCTTCCACTTTTCACTTGTGCCAGCTGTGGGTCCGAACATGGCTTCTCATTTAACTTTTAAAAGCTAGTGCGGGAGATCCACCAAAGCTGAACATGTGACCCAGAATATCCCAGTTAATTATTATTGGTCAAGAATGCATTAATTACTATTAGATATCAGTGATTTGATAAGAATGGAGTTTTCTGTGTAGAACTGGACCGTATTGTACACATTTTGATGGTGCTCAACAATGTAGCATCCTTATTAACAGGTCTGAACATTCATCATTGTTTTCATTCTTTTCCTGCCTACATTTTTAAAGTAGTCATTATTGCCCTAGAAGGGGTAAAAACATGAAAATATATGTTTGATATGTTTTTACAATCTCTGACTCAACAAATGTAGCAAATCAAAAAGTGCAAGCCATAGCCTACTCTTACTTGAAATTATGGCGTTTTGTATTATTTAAATACTAAAACACATATATAGAAACAGATTCCAATCAATGAAACAAAGTCTAACTCATTGTGTTATGCAAGCTTAATTAAATATGCAAACATATGGAACCTGGTTTTTATGTAAGCATTTGCGTGTCCAGTTGGGCAAGGTATCCTCTTTTGTGTGGGCTCTATAACCCCCTTATGATATAAGCACAGCTGGGTCCTGGAAGTTATATGCTTAATGTTTATTATTACTTTAACAGATTCATCCTTCAGGCCTGACCTGGGAGCTGAGGCAGAAATATGAATTTCAAACTGGTAAGTGATCTGGTCTTTTGCTTTATCATATTATTGAGCTGTGTATGTGTGTACGTGATTTTTGTTACATGAATGCATGAAGTATTTCAGTAATCTGTAAATGCCTACTGTTACATTTTGAAGTTAGAAATACTTATATATATATATATATAGATTGATACATAGATAGATAATATATAATAATAATATAAAAATAATATAATGTAATGTTTTTACCTCAGTATAACTTTTGAACATGATTTTCTTTGCTAAAAGGTTTGTACTGATGTTTGTGTGTGAGGGAATAAAAGAGAGCCAGACGGAGACAGAGAGAGAGAGAGAGAGCAGGAGGGACCCGTATTAGCTGGGACACTTGAATGAATTTGAAGAATAGGTTTTTACATGCAGGAGAGCCACAATACTGGGCCCTGAATGGCAGACAGTACCAGTTTCTCTGATTCAAATGACGCAAACCTGCCTGATTGGAGGGATTTAAAAACTTTGTTTCAGCAGAGTATCCAAACAAAACCAAGTCCAGTCTTAAGACATAAGTGTTAGGTGATGTTAGCAATGTCTTCCTTCTGTCCATTTATATCAGTATTGTCCTTCGTGATGTTTTTGTTGTGTAGCTAATTTTCTACAAGAAGAATTAAGATTTAGAAAATACAGATGTAAATAAAACAAGGCAGCACATTGCTTCTACGATGTGACAAGCACTGCAAACTGCCTCTGAGTCTCCAGTATTGTGGCACACATACATGTGAATCTTCAAATTCAGGCAATCAAACATCTGATTAAGAAAACCACACTAAATTGAATAAACTAAAACCACTAAGAGACAGAGAAATCAAATTCAAAATGAGAAGAATAAGGGTTAGTAATGTAATATTCTTTCCACATATAAAACAGCTTAATACAATTACTCCTACGGCGTGAAGGCAGCTATTGTGTGCATGTAACACCAGTCAGTGTTACATTGATTGTGACATACTACAGCGGTGTAAATGTCCGGCAGTATTATCTCTGTCAAGTGGCTGTCTGGGTACAGTTATGTGATCTCGTGAGGCAAAAATGGCCCCACACATTTAAGTATACACAGACAACTAAGCTCCCCAACACTCACACACACACTCACACACACACACACACACACACACACACGCACACACACACACACACACACACACACACACACACCGTCTGACCCGGGGTCAAGGTGCAGTGACTCTGAGGGATGTCTAACTGGGCCTCTTGAAACTCTTGCCTTGCATTCCAGCGCCCGGAGGAGGGGGTTGTTGCAACCAGGCTTATTACCAGGGAGAGAGACAGAGAGAAAGAGTGAGAGGGAGGGAGAAGTGGGGGTAGAAAGAAGCTGGAAGGTATTATGCACTATTTCCTAAGCTCCCGCTTGTTCCCTCCCACTCGGCCAACAGAGTTCTACGACACAGTAAAGGAAACGCTGAAAACTTGAACCTGCTATTCTCCAGCTGCCTCGGCCTTCTAACTAGCTCACTTGTTTCTTTGCCTGCCGTCCCCTCTGTCTGTTTCTCTCTCTCTCTCTTTCTCTGTTATTCTCCCTCCCTCGCCCTCTCCCTGTTTGTCTCGCTGTCTCTTTCTCTGGGCTGTGTGTAAGAGGATCACTTTGTTTCCGTTGCCTTTTTCCGCGGTGCTAGAGGATAGGATAGAGGAAAGGACTGGATCTGGGGAGATACTGACGGGGTTGCACAGCTGCAACAGTCCCCTCCATCGCCACACAAGGACTAATGCCGCCCCCCCACCCCCCGCACACACACACACACACACACACACACATGCACTCTCTCTCTCCCTGTGTGTTTGACTCTCCCTCTGCTGCACTCTCTCTGCTTTCTGCCTCTCGGAGGGGTGGGGGGTGCCATATGGGAGCTCAGAAAAATGGAAGTGGATCGGAGATAGACAAGAGAGGAATCTGTCATTCTTGGGCTCGGATGTCGGGATCTACGTGGTAGGTGCTTCTCTCTTTCTCTTTCTTAGCACTTTTTGGAAGTTCTGCACTCCCCAAGAATATTTATATGCCTAAATTCTCAGCACTGTGTTTGGTTCATATGTCGCCAATTTTTTTCTTTTTTTGTCGGACTGCAGATTTTGCTTCCACTTCCTTTAATATGTCCAAGCTTATGTTTCATTGTTACAGTTCATTTGTGAGCTCTAGTAATAAGACGGGCTTTGTGCATTTAAATCTGTACCAAGTTTTTAGGGTCAAGGTAGAGCATGAAAGGAGGTGGAGAGGAGGCCGACTGGGGGAAGGGAATTTGGAGGGGTCAAAGAGAATGGCACTCGGTCCAGGCAGCACAATGGCTCTGAAAACTTTTTTAGTATGACATTGTGTCTGGGCTTGCCTCAAAACCTGGAAACGGCAGCATGTTTCAGCTGGCTGGTAGGAGGTTTGTAGTGGAGGCTATTTGTTTAAGTGATGAAACTGATCAGTTGTTCAGTGGTTTCACTTTTCCATGAGCTTGGAATTTTTAAGTCTGGGGTGAGTGCAGTATTGAGACAATGGGCATCGATGTTTTGACACACCATACCCATCTGACAAAGCTGCTAGGCTCTTTTTACATCTCTTTCATTAGATATTTTAAATGGAATTTCTCTTCAGAAATGATACAATACATGCAGAAAATTACTCTCAAAGATGGGAAATGCACAGCTAACCTATTTTTGATAAAGAAATCATACAAACTTAAAAATCCAAAGTTTACAGTGTCTCTTGTAGACTAAGCCACTTTTCACATTTTATCAGCCCAGGATACAATGCTTCATGAAACCAGATTTTGTGGATAGTGCTATTGAAAGGATGCTTGCAGATTATTAGCAGTTGGTTCATCTCCGTAGAATTTTGAAACAGGTCATGGTAGATGTTGCTGCCAGTGCAAATGAATGCGTTACTGCAGGCTGACTGAATAATTCTATTAGGTTGATGACGGGATACCTCCTGGCCTTGCATATAGCTGTTAAAGCTATATGTAAGGCCAGGAGGTATATATTATGGTAGAATTTACAGTAATGTTGGTCATGAGGAATTACTGCAAGTACCATTCCCCATAGATTTAATTTCACCACATAATTAATGATATAGATTTAATATTGTTACCTAATACCTTTTATAACGATAATATTTTTATCAGGTCTGTACACACAGATCATTGCCTGATAAAACTGGACAATAGAAAACAACATGTTTAAGTAACTGAACGGTCTAACCCCCTAACAAATTTACTTAATCTCACAAATTTTTTTAACATAAAATATAATTTTTTAAAATTCAAATACACTTGTATAAGAGGCAAATGTTCTGTATAACTCAGTGGTATTAAATGTGAAACTCTATGAATAATCTTTAACAAATATGCAGCCAGAGAGAACTGGTGTGCGTAGGTCTGGGAAACGAGCTGAGCTGAGTAAGTGAGTGAGTGAGTGAACTCCTTTTAGGAAGCTGTTTGAACTTGAGAGCTGTGATTTATGTGTCTCACCTTGATGGTTCATTGGCAGTTTGGGGTTTTGACCTCACTCCCTCGTCCCTTTGAGGAAAGCAGAACCCGTCTCTGACTGACTCGCTCTGTGCCTCCCTCGCTCCCTCCCTTCATTAGACATCGCACTAACATGGGAATGAAACGTCTCGACCGGCATTGATGGTCTTATTTCTCCTGTGAAAGGTGGCATTTAGAGGGAAGGAAAAAATTTTGAGTTTAGTTGTGCCTGTATGAATTTACTTTTGGTCTGCTCTCTGTGCAGCACAATGTCTGTTTAACTTATATTGTGGGGGGAAGTCTCTACTAGTGCTCTTTTATAAATACACACAAACTGTTTCTGCTGCAGAATCTAGTTCTCTATTTTGGGCATGTGGGTCAAAATCTAATGAAGCAGCTCTGCACACCTTCTTAATGAGGACTGATGAAGTTACTGTTAAAAAGTTACATTCTTGGTTGAGCTGGCTACTGCTTCAGCTTCCACCGTGAGACAAAATATAGAAACATAAATTGCCTGCTCAGCACTGTGGATGACCTTCTTGTTGATCAAGAGCTTTTTATACAGTTTCAAGTCTTTTCTCTCATAGGCACTTGAACAAATCTAATCTAAAGCTTTAAAAATGAATTCAGGAACATATTTGTGTAATCTGCCATCCCAAAGCTTTCTGTGCTTTGATCAGGGAAAAGAAGTCGATAACAATTTTTTCAGTTCAAAACGCTTTACTCATCCCTCATTTAAGGGAGTTTTTTGTGTCATGTAATGTTTTTAGAGAACCTGAATTTGCTCTTCTTAGTCTTCTTGTTGTTGCAGTTGGACTCAATGCATTCCATTTCTATAAATCATAAAGCACAATTGTTAACTGAAAAAGTAAATTCTGAGTCTTAATAAAAACACTATTTAGGTGAGTTAAAATGTTTCTGAATTCACAGGACTACAGGTGCAGGAAAAAATTGTTTTTTGGGTAGCTGTTGAATCAGTTGGTATGGTACAGTTCATCCTCTCATCAAGGAGACTGGATTATTTAAATCTGGGAGGTATTTCATGTTTTTATAAATAGCGCTCATCTGGTGTATGTCTGCAGATGATTTCAGTTGTTTATTGTCCTTTGTGCCAGGTGAAGACGTGTCGTCAGATAACCTGCCTGACCTCCACAGCCAATTTTAGCCTCTCCCTCATGCCTCCTCTGGTTATAAATTAGCCTGGTTGTTGTTTGCAAGCAGTGAAAGGAAAAGCTCACTTAGTGGCTTAGTAGCAGTGATTTATTAGTTGTTAGCCTGCTGCTGCCATGTGAATGACAGAGGTGCTATTCAGGATGAAAACAGAAACTCAGAAAGCAGGCAGCATCTGACTGCTTCAGGAAATAGTAGGTGTTTCCTTTTCTGCTACTCAACCAAGAGAGAAATTGTGGATTTACCATTTAGCATTCCTTCCAAGGACAAGTTTCCTCGTTCAGAGAGCATGTTAATAGTGCCACAATGTACTTCATGTAATATTTACCATGATTTTAATAGGGACACATCTGTACCACTTCCTGCTCTATATGAGTGGTTTGATAGTTCATAACATCCATAATGATCTGTGAAGGCCTGTATGGAAACAACTTCTCGTGAATGCAGTGGTTCCTGCATTTGGAAATACATTTGCTGTTGACTCAAAAGGCATGTTTAGTTGCACTTTACTTTACAGCGCAGTACTGCCATGGTAATAGTATAGTAATAGTTTTATGATAAAGCAGTAATAAGTCAGTAATACCATATAATTACCAAGTAATAACCATGCAATAGCTTGGTATTAACAAAAGATATATTTGGGTAAAATTAGACTGAAATGTATATGTGATAAGAGGCCAATAATGGCGCAATATAGGGATTAAAATGGTAATAACATGACATTAATTGGGTAATAACCTGATAATAAAAAGGTGATATAGTTTGACGTTTTCACAATATTATGGGCTACCAACAGTGTAATGCCTTCAAAATCACATGAAAATTCAAATGTTGGTAATTACCATATTATAGTGCTGAAATTCATCCTTTTATGTTCCAAACATTCCCTTTTGTTTCAAGGTAATACTGTACAAATTATATGTTTAGATGTTATATTTCAATGTGTTTCCCCATTATTACCCTTTGTTTATGGCTGACGTAAATGTCAGTCTAATATTACCTAGATATACCCATTGTTAACACCAAGCTAATACCTGGTTATTACTTGCTTGGTATTGCTTGGTGGTATTGCTTAACTATTACCTCTTCCTTATTAATCTTCTACGCCACTATTACGATTTTATTACCGAGCTGTAATTCAAGGCTGCTCGCCTGGTGGCTCTTTCTTGAAAGACACCGTTTTGCACCTGGTTCTCTCCGTCACTTTTGTGGCACATGTGCAAAATCATAACACAGACAGAAACCAAGCTATCTGGTGTATACATGTCGAGAGCCATTTGAAAGATCGATGGGTTAGCCATCTCTACAAATCGAGTTGTGCTTTCTCCGATTACAACCTTAATGCAAGTAAGATAACTTTGTTAAGATGTTTGTATGACATTCACAATAATCTCAGTATTGCCTTACTCGAGTTGTGATCAAATCACTAAAGTGCATGTAAACGCAATGAGTGACAACACTGTTTGCCTGTCCCCTTATTTCCACAACACTTTCTGTCACACACAGAAGTATTTAGGCAGAAAACCCTGGCAAGTTTTTACATTTTGAACAATAACATATTTTGAGTAACAAACATCAGACGTTCAGGTCCACCACTGAATTCTATCTGGGAAGCTGTTTCTGCTGTGAATGTGAAGAAAATGGGAAGTACCCTTAATGAGACACCTCAGTTCCTCACTGACCATTGGCAGGCACAAGTTACCTCTTTAGAAGGCATGGGCCTCTGGTTGAGTTTGACTAATGTGGGCATACAGTGTGTGACTGTGAATCCATGCTATTCCAGGAAGGAATATGATGTGAATAGTGAAAAGAACTGCTCCAACAATGCAACTGTTCATGCAGCCCAAGGAGTTCATAACCCTGAAGGCCAAGAAAACAGGGTCCTGACTGATGCGTCTTGTCCCAGCACACTTGTCTCTCAGTGCTTCGACAATCATTACTTTCTCAGACAGACCTCTTCAGGTTGTTGATCCAGCTTGGATGGTTGCTCCTCCGGGATTCTAGCAACATCCTGCAAAAAGCATGATCAGTCATATGATTATTATTATACATCCCAAATTTGGATGGCAAACATTATTAAAATAGATGGCCAAATTTGTCCTTCATGAGACAGGAGAAGCCTCATCCTGTGTATGCAACCGTTATTGTCACAGTTTATCAACATGTTAAGCCATTACATGCTGGGTTTATTCTGCTCAGAGCTTGAATCATCTCCTGTGGTTTAAATCATTGAGAGTAGCTCTGTGTAAAGCAGCAGTTGATCAAAGATCACAACATCATGTTTCTTGAGAAGATTGTCCTCCTGTCA